CGGCGGCTGGAGGAGCACCGCTACTGCGCGGCGGGCGCCTCGCTGCTGGAGCCGCCGCTGCAGCTCTACTGGACCTGGCTGCTCCAGTGGATCCCGCTCTGGATGGCGCCCAACACCATCACCCTGATCGGCCTCGCCGTCAACATGGTCACCACGCTGCTGCTCGTCTCCTACTGCCCCACCGTCACCGAGGAGGTACGGCCCGCCCCGGCCGGCGGCCGTCCCCGGCCGCCCCGGCTCCCCGCCCGGCACACCGAGTCGCTAGGGGCGCTGGGAAGGGGAGGGGCGGGACGGGAGACCCTCGGGGTGGGGGGGGCACCCCGAGCCTCCCCCCCCCCAGGCTGCCCGGAGGCCGTCCTGGCCTCTACTTCAGGCCTTTGACCGTCCCCCAGCCTCCCCCAGGCCGTGGAGGGGCTGTCAAGGTCACTGTCCTTGTCCCCTGTCCGCCCACAGCATCCTGGGGGACACAGGAGGCGCGTCTGTTCGCCCCCCCCGCTCCCGTGGAGTGGCCTTGTGTATTATGCACACTGGAGACTGAATACACACACACAGATCCACACAGATCTCACTCACACACACACACACAGATCTCACACACACACACAGATCTCTCACACACACACAGATCCACACAGATCTCACACACACACACACACACAGATCGCACACACACACACAGATCTCTCACACACACACAGATCCACACAGATCACACACACACACACACACTCTCCACCCTGCCTGACTCAAAGACTCTGGCTGGGTTGGCCAAACCCAAGATGCACTTTGGATACTTTGATAATCATCTGTTTCTCAAAGGTTCTGCTAGTGATTTTGAAATTACTGGTAGCACTGATCGAAGATAAGTTACTGTTAAGAGGAAGTTACTTCCTTTCATAACTTTTTCTCTTTCACACACACACACAAAACCTCAGAAAACAAGCCTCCATAGCTGATGCCTGTAACCCTAGGTACTGAAAAGGATGAGATCTGAGGATTGCAGTTCAAACTAGCCAGGAAAAACCAGGAGATTCTTTTTTTTTTTTTTTGTGGGGGGGATATGGGAGGTGGCCATGGGTGCAGTCCCTGAGCTCTTTTGCCCAAGGCTAGTGCTGTGTCACTTTGAACTGCAGGGCCACTTCTGGTTTTCTGGTGGTTAGTAGGAGATAGGAATGGGAGGCTCACAGACTTGTCTGCCTAGGCTGGCTTTGAACCATGATCCTCAGATCTCAGCCTCCTGAGTAGCTAGAATGACTGGCGTGAGCCACTAGCACCCGGCCCATGAGATTCTTATCTCCAGTTCACCATCAAAAAGTCAGAAGTGGAGCTGTGCTTCATGTGGTACAGTGCCAGCCTTAAGCAAACAGCTAAAGGCTAGCGATCCAGCCCTGATTCAAGCTCCACTCCTGGCACACACAAGAACAATCTAAATCAATAATCCTTATTGACACCCAAGGATCATAAAAGCTAACCGATTTTATTAGTATTAATTGTATTTGACCTGTGTTCAAAGTAAGAAATATGGACTTTGGACAGTTTTTCATCAGGAGCATCCATGGGTACTGAGTGTGAGAGGAGACGCCCTGTAGAGGGAAAGGAGGTGAGGTACCTACTACATAGCATATCCCATACGTTGCTTTCTTTTCTGTGCCCAAGTCGTGAAATGTCTCTCTTTTCCTTTTTTTTTTTTGGCCGGTTGTTGGGCTTAAACTCTGGGCCTGGGCGCTGTCCCTCAGCTCTTCAGCTCAAGGCTAGCACGCTACCGCTTCAGCCACGGCGCCACTTCCTCATGAAGTATCTGTATCATCACATTAGAGTACAGGTCTTGCAGAAGGCTAAAAGAGATTACGGTTGGATTCCAGGAATACAGTGAGAGTACTTCATGCTCTACATTCATACAATGGCCTTTTAACAATTTTTGTGTTTTGTGGCGTTTTTTTTGGGAGGGGGGTCAGTCGTGGGGCTTGAACTCAGGTCCCAGGCACTGTCCCTGAGCTTTTGAGCTCAAGGTTTGAGCTCTACCACTTTGAGCCACAACACTATTTCTGGTTTTCTGGTGGTTAATTGGAGATAAGAGTTTCACCACCTTTCCTGCCCTGGCTGGATTTGAACCACTATCCTCAGATCTCAGGCTCTTGAGAAGCTAGGATTACAGATGGGAGCCACTGGCACCTGGCTTAGCAATTTTTAAATATCTTGCTCATCGATGACATGTTCACCATCATCATTAATACAAAGGTGAGTTACAATTCTGTAAGTCAGGTTATGCTTCTTGGTCAAATGGGTGACATATATTTATTATACCTTTCTTAGCAGATATTGCATCAGCATTTCCATATTGTTTGTAAAAAGTATGCTGTTGTAGTTTGGGGGATTCTGCTGCCTGTTTCCAGAATTCCCAGAGGCAGGGGCTGACTTGGAAGTGGGGACTTGGTTTCCCCTCTCTCTCTGTCACAGCACACCTACTGGATCTGTTTTCTCATGTCGAAAATAGAATATAATGCCTGCCAGGCAATTTTACAAGGAGTCTGTGAAGACCAAATGACATATGCAGATAAATGTGGAATTTGCTTAGTGAATTAAAATTCCTCATCCACATATTAAAGTATCATGCTTGCTTTATAAAAGGACAGCAATAACATAAAGATCATAGCCACTTCTGGCTCTTGACTTAAGGTAACAAAACAAGTAGATATGCCCATCTAAGTTGCTTAGAATTCAAAGCTCATATTCCTTTTGTTATTTGTTGCTATCTTCTCATTTGCAGTTGCTCTTTTGTCTTTGCAGTGTGCAGGAAGAACACTTGAGTTTTTGTATAATGCAATGGTATAAGAGAGTTGCACCTCCACTCTTGTATCTCTCTGTATGTCCCGTAGCAACCCGGCAAAACTGGCAAGTTCCCCTTCCCAGAATGACCTTCCCACCCTTGATGTATTCCTGAGTCTCCATCCACCCTGAAGAAACAGTTATATTTCCCATCCTCCTTTCTTCCCTCCCTCCTCCCCCTCCTCTTTCCTTCCCTTTCTTCTTCTTCTCTGTCCTCCCTCCCCTTCTACCTCCCCACTTTATCCCTCTTTCCTTTCTCCAGTCCTCTATCACCCCACTCCCTCTCTTCTTTTCCCCCTTCCCCCTTGTTGTTCTCTCTCCTTTCCTCCTCTCCTTCTTACCTTCTCTCCCTTCTTTTCTTTCTTTTTTTTTTTTTTTGGTATTACTATAGTTTTTGGTGGTACTACAGTTTGAACTCAAGACCTCTCCTACTTGAGCTATACCCCAGCCAACCCCCCCCCTTTCTTTTCTTTGCTATAATTGTTTTTCAGAGCAGGTCTTGCATTTTTCCTAGGGCTGGCCTCAGACCACAATCCTTCTACCTATGTCTCTTGGGTGAGATGGGGGTTTCATTCACTCTTTGCCTTGGCTAGCCTAGAATGCATTCCTCCTAATGGCCACTTCCCAAGCAGCTGGGATTACAGGTAAGAGTCACTGTGCCCGGGCTAGCAGCAATTTACTTTCTCATAAGAGAAAATTGAGGCCCAGAGAGATTAAATACTTTAACCTGGCCTGAAACTTAAGAATTTATAGTACCTTTTCAGACTTGACAGAGTTATTTCTAGGACATAACTGAGGATAAAGGGAGACTGATGAAAGTGGTTTCCATTAAGTTTGAAATACTTTTAAAGCTGTCACTCTAGCCAGATTGAAATACTTGGCTATGACAAGGATTTCCCTGCTTCTCCCTCTTCTTTTTTCCTTTCTCTTTTCACCTGCTTCACTTATTTAGTTACCTACCTTCCTATCTTTCTTTTCTTTTTCTTTTTTTCTTTTAGTTCTGGCAATGGGCCTTGAACTCAGGCCTTGCCTTGTTGAGGACATTTTTATTCAAGAGGAACACTCTACCACTTGAGCCATGCCTCCACTTCTGGCTTTTTGTTGCTTTCTTGGGGATGAGTCTCTTGGATTTGTGTCTCCCAACTGGCTTCAAACCACAATCCTCAGATCTCAGTCTCTTGAGTAGCTAGGTGAGCTACTGCTCCAGGCTTATTGTTCAGTGCCCAATTCTAACTACCAATTCACTACCTTTTCTAATGTGTTTTCTTTCTCCCAAATTAAATCAGCCACTTGTTGATTGTTATAATAACAACTAACATATACTGGATACTTATGATCCTCAGATCTCAGCCTCCTGAGTAGTTAGGATTACAGGCTTGAGCGACGTGCGCCCAGTGTAACTTCTCCTTTTTATATTAGTTATGTGTATTCTTTCTGGGCAGGACAGCCTACTAGATTTCAAGTTCAGACAGTGATTGTTCATTTGAATAATTCTCATACTTAATGCAATGCCTTGCATCAAGCAAGTGCTAGCAGGTTCTTGAATTCTTGGTGTTTGTTATTGATTGTGTGAATGAATGATGTTGCAGTATAATGTTGAGAGATGTTATTTCAATTCTTACTAGGTATTACTATTCTTAAATACTTACTAGTTGTTTGGCCTGGCTAAATTTAAGGCAAATAAGCAAGTATTGGGCAAATGAACAGGAGGCAGATTTTCTCCTCTCCTTTATTAATAAGTCTTAAAAGGGAGTGTTCTTTCTTATTAAAATAAATACAAGTTAGGTTGGCCAACATCAAGAATTCAAACAACTATGGCTGGCAAGGATGGGGGGGGAAGGGAGCCCTAATGTACTGTTGGTTGGAATGTAAACTAGAACAACCACTCTAGATGGAGGTTTGGAGGGTCCTCAAAAAAACGAAACATCAAACTTCCCTATGACCCAGCCATACCATTCCTTGGGCATCTACCAAGTCTGAATATAGTAAAAACACTTGTATTCATTTCTGCACTCATCATAATAACTGAATTATGGAAACAGCCCAGATGGCCTACAACAGATGAGTGGATCATCAAATTGTCATATATATACACAATGAAATTTTACTCATCCATTAGAAAGAGTAAGATGATGTCATTTACGGGGAAATAGATGGATCTGGAACAAATCATGTTAAGTGAGGTCTAAGCTCACAGAGACAAACGGCACATGTTTTCTCTGGACATGATAAGCTATACAGGACTTCAGGCATTCACGTACAGACTGAAGGAGGAACCCAAAAGTGTAACTTTTCCGAACATTTAAAAAATACTGTTTATCAAAACGAATTTGAGGAAATGGAAACATGGGTTTTTTGGTGGTAGTGGTGGTGGTAATGGTGGTATTTGTTTTTGCTATTGGGATTTTTTTTAAGAGGATAAATGGGGGGCATAGAAAGGGAGAGAAGAAGAGTGAACAAATGCAAGCATGGTCTTCAGTATATACTATGTGGAAAATGAACTGTGTGACTTTGGGGCAGGGGATAACATTTTGGGCAGGGTAACATTGTCCAAACCAAACCAAACCTGTACAGAGTACCTGACTTATTTACGCTTCTTTATAACATTTTAATAATAACAAAATCATATTTAAAAATAAGATGTAACCTGCTGGCTTGCAGAAGATGGAATTTCTAGAAGTAGCACAGAGATTCAGGAGTGTAAACTCAGGCATCCATATTTAAAGGAGACCCTTGCAGGACCTCACAAGCAAATGCTCTGGAAATTCTGCAGCTGCAGTACCTCCTGGCCTCCACCCACCTGTGGAGAAACCCTTCAGATAATGTGGGACGAGGCTTTGATAAGGCATAAGCCGTTTCTCCTTTAATATCCTGGCTCAAGTGTTGATGAAACATAACATTCTGATTCATAGGAAGAATGAGTAATTGTATTCCTGAAACCCTGATCTCTGGGACATAAGGATCCAGACACTTGGGTTTTATGAAGTTGAAGGACAGAATGGATGGTAAGAGCACCTAATGCAATCCCTGTTGATGGCAGATTTGGGCCACGGCCCTTACTCTCCTGTTCCCTTTAGCCCAGTTCCAGCAAGAACTCTTCTAGAAAGTACTGAAGGAGGAAGAAAACCCAGAACTATTCACAGAAAAAAATAGGAAGGAAGCCACCCTTTAAAATCGGCCTTCTTAGATCACAAGGCAGCCCTCTGGTTCTGAAATGCCGGTGACATCTGATTTCCTTTGTCCCAATCACAACCTGCTCTCTCTCCTAGAAAGTGAGTGAGGTCATCTCGGTGCTAGCCCTAAACTGAGCTGAGGCCCAAGATCCCGAATGTAACTAGTAAACCTTGAGGCCATTCTGTTTGGCTTGACAGAATGATCTTCCCTTTCCTGCTCCGATCTTTTCCCTAACCTGCTCTGGAGCCTGGCCAAGCCATGGGGGCGGGAATCCACCTCTGCAAACAAGGAAGTGCCCTGCCTCTCACAGACTCCCAGGGGAAAAAATCAGCATATCACGGGCACTAGGTGAGTCAGAGGGTCAACAGCAACCGGACCATTGATACACTTTCTAGAACTACTAGAAATACCATGAGTTCTCTAAAAAATAAAATGTCACCTGACTAGGTACAAAACCCTCCTTTAGCAGTGTCCCTTGGTCTTTAATATACAATGATTCTTTTTTTTTTTATTCTGCCAGTCCTGGGCCTTGAACTCAGGGCTGAGCACTGTCCTTGAGCATCTTTTGTTCAAGATTCTAGCATTCTACCACTTGAACCACAACACCTCTTCTGCTTTTTCTGTGTATGTGGCACTGAGGAATCAAACCCAGAGCTTCATGCATGCTTGGCAAGCACTCTTTAACACTTAGCCACATTCCCAACCTCTACAATATTCTTGCAATCAGAAATTTTAAGAATCACAACTGGCAATTTAGAATCATTTGAATTAAACTTTGCTTTTCTCATTAAAGAAATGTATTTTTTTCATAGTAGGAAAAAGGTTAAAAACTTGCTAGTTAACAGAATTGTTCCCTGCACAACATTTTAGCATTCTTTGAAAAAATTCCAGGTAAGTTACGTTTTGGTTCGCGTTTTTTTTTGTACTCTTGGCTCTGCTTTTCGCCTGCCTTTCATAGTGTCCAGTTTGAAAATACGTTGAAGTAGTAAAATGCGATATTTTACCATTTATGTTCATAACTCAAGTTCCTTCTGTTCTTACGTTATTCCTAATTTATATTACCTTCCTTTTAAATAAAAGACTTTTGTATCCTTTTATGCAATTAGTAGTGCTTGCATTAGTACTGAGCCTCTCATATTAACAAATGTTGAAAATTTTATGTTTTTATTTAAAGCAAAGTTCTATTTACTTAGGAAGATTGAAGAATGGGATGATCAAGTTGGTTGAGTACTTGTAGAATTTTTTTTTTTTTTGGGTCCAGTCATGGGGCCTGAACTCTGGGCCTGGGCGCTGTCCCTCAGCTCTTCAGCTCAAGGCTAGCGCTCTACCACTTGAGCCACAACACCACTTCCGGCTTTTTTCTTTTTTCTTATGTGGTGCTGAGGAATCGAACCCAGGGCCTCAGGCATGCAAGGCAAGCACTCTACCACTGAGCCACCTTCCCAGCCCCATACTTGTAGAATTTTTATACAAACCATATAGAAGTTAATATTTGATAAGTATACTAGTTGCACACCTACAATCTTAGCACGAGGACCACAAGTTGGAGATCACTTGAGCTACACAGTGAGACCCTATCTCAGAAAAACAAAATAAGGAAAACAGTATTTTGCTATTAATAGTTTCCAACATAACAATGAGCATGCACTATATGCTTGCTTTGTATTTTAAAAATTCTACGTTTTTCATTAGATACAGCTGGAGGTACAGACAAGGCAACTTACAGTTCAAGCACTTAAGGCTTCAAGAGGTTCAATGCCTAGCTCAAGACCCCACAGTTACTGGAAAAGAGAGCCAGAGACTCAAACACAGCTCTAATGTTATCTTTAACAGTTATGCTGTCCTTCTCTCCAAGATGCAGCATTCTAGGCTGATCAGATACTATGCTTTGAATACAAAAAGATCCCCTGAATGTTTGTGTGATAAGGACTTGGTTTATTGTGATCTAAAGAGCTTTTGAGAGTTGATTAGGTCCTGAGGGGTCTAATTTCAATGTGTTAGCCCACTGATGAATTCCTAGCTAGATGGAGGATGAAGAGGTCCACCTGGAAGAAGTAGGTCTCCGGGGGCGTGGCCTTGGAAGGGGATACCTTGTCCCTGGACTCTTCTCCACATGCTGCCCCCTGACCACCCATGAGTGAGCTCCTTTGTAGAGATTTCCATTGACACTTCTATTACTCTATAATTGTCATGTTTTCCTTTACCTTCTTGAGCATGAGGAGCACATTTGTAATAACTTACTGGCCTTGTCTGCTATATCTGTTATTTCTCACATTCCTGGATCTGATTGTTTTGGTTAATTTTGTCTTTGTAAGTTATAGTCTCCTGCTTGTCCATAACACTGGTCGTTTTTGACTGGGCGTGCTAGGTTTTTATCAAACATATACTTTATGCTGGCTCTGGTTAACCTATAGGGAATTTTTTGGATCCTTTTTAAGACTAGCTTTTGTTCGGGCTGTCTTGTAAAAGCCTTTAGAGCTACGTTTTGACCACTGCTAAAGCAGTGTACATCTGAGATCTCTGCCTAATGCCCTGGATATTACAAAGTCTTTCTTCTCTGCCTAGTGGGAACATGAACTCCTCCCACGTGTGGGCAAAACAATTTGACCTTCTGCTTCTCAGTGCTCCTTTTCCTGGCCTTGCTGCTAGCATGTCTGTCTCATTCAGACATAGGTCAGTTCACAGCCAGCGCTTCAGAGGACACCTTCTGCAGCCCTCCACAAACCCTGTGGGTTTGAAGAGTTCACAAGTCCTACCTCCCTCGACCTTCCTTAACTCTGATACCCCCTCAACACAGCCTGCTTACCCAGCTGGGTGAGTCCCTTCCCACACCATGACCCGGAAGCGGCAGTAAGCTGGAGCCGTCACGGGCTCCCGGAGCTGATCCTCTTCTCTCAGGATCACAGGCTGCCGGCCAAGTCGTAGAACTGTGGTTGCTAATACTCTTCTGGTTATATAAGGTGGGAGAGTAATTTCAAACTCTGGTCCTATATCATGAGTGGACGTGAAGGTCTGAAGATTGCCTTTAAAATTGGCTATATTAATGCTTGGTAAGAAATGTACGCATTATCCTGCCCATGTAATTGTAACCCCTCTGTACAGTATGTTCACAAATAAAATTAAATTAAATTAAAAAAAATAAAATAAAATTGGCCATATTTTGAGGTGGCTCATGCCTGTCATCCTAGCTATTCAAGAGGCTGAGATCTGAGGGTTATGGATCAAAGCCAGCCCAGGCAGGAAAAACCATGAGATCTTTTTGTTTTTGTCAGTTGTGGGGCTTGAACTCTGGGCCTGGGAGCTCTGTCCCTCAGCTCTTCAGCTCAGGTGAGTGCTCTACCACTTTCAAGCCACAGCACCACGTTCAGTTTTCTGGTGTTTAATGGAGATAAGAGTCTCATGGACTTCCTGGCCAGGGTGGCTTTGAGCCTCGCTCCTCAGATCTCAGCCTCCTGGGTAGCTAGATTACAGATGTGAAACACCAGCGCCCGGCCATGTGAGACTCCAATTACCAGCAAAAAGACAGAACTGGAAGTCAGGCTCCAATGGTAGACAGAGAGCCAGCCTAGAGTGAAAAAGCTAATGAGCCATGAACTAGGAATGAAAATGAGAGTCCTGAGCCTGGCTCAGCTGTTTGACTCTGCTTCTCACAACTCGAGACTCTGTGACTTAGAGTCTGTGACTTAAGTCTGTGACTTAGAGCAGTTCCTCTGTCTCATTGCTTCTCTGAAAGGAGGGGGATTATGCATGTTCGTTGGAGCATACTGCTGTGATACAAAATGTAAACACAAAGTGTGTTGATTGGCTTAGGTGGGGCGATTTTCAGGGACCAGCTAGCCTACTGGCACTTACCCATCATTGTTGTTTCCCTTTCTTCTTAGGCGCCATACTGGACGTACCTTTTATGTGCCCTGGGACTCTTTATCTACCAGTCACTGGATGCTATTGATGGCAAGCAAGCCAGAAGAACAAACTCTTGTTCTCCCTTAGGAGAACTTTTTGACCATGGTTGTGACTCTCTCTCCACAGGTAACTTACATTGTTGTTGTTTTTTAAAATTATTCTTCCTGTAGTGTTTTTTTTTGTTTTTTGCTTGTTTGTTTTCTGCACTGATAGCTTATAAACTGAAATGAAGGGAGCTGCTTGTTTGGTCAATTTTTTGTAGACATAGAAATTTGGGAACAATTTTTCAAAAAATTATTTTGTTCGGGCTGGGAAGGTGGCTCAGTGCTTGCCTCGCATGCATGAGGCCTTGGGTTCAATTCCTCAGCACCACATAAGCAAAAAGAAAAAAGCCAGAAGTGGTGCTGTGGCTCAAGTGGTAGAACGTTAACCTTGAGCTGAAAAGTTGAGGGACAGCACCCAGGCCCAGAGTTCAGGCCCCACGACCGGACCCAAAAAAAAAAAATTAATTTGTTAAGCATTCCTTGTTTTAATGCCAGGACCATGCCTCCTAAAATTCCCTGTATTTCTAAACAGCACAGGACAGTTATGTCATTGATTATTTTTATATCTCAATGGTTCTTAAATTTTGTTTCTTTCAGTATTTATGGCCGTTGGAGCTTCAATTGCTGTTCGCTTAGGAACTCATCCTGACTGGTTGTTTTTTTGCTCTTTTATTGGGATGTTTATGTTTTATTGTGCTCATTGGCAGACTTACGTTTCAGGAGTGTTGAGGTTTGGAAAGTAAGTATGTTTTTATAAGTTTGTACATTTATTCAATTTCACAATCTGTTTGGCACTTGTCTATATGAAAGGAGGAAGTTCTAATTTATTGGACTGTCTATAAAGGCTGCACCTTTTACTGAAGTCTTTTAGGTATTCCACATGTGATAGCTACATTATTTGACAATCACTATTTTTCTTCTCCAGCTTACTAGCCCAGACTTAAGAAAAAAATGACAGAAAAGGGAAACATGAAAGATGTGAATCTTATAGAAAACAAAGGATATGATATATTTAAATAAGCAGTGTTTGATTCATATAATAAATAATGTGATATGGAGTTCAAAGCCTTTTTTTTTTTTGGTCAAATCATCAACTGTCCAAAAAGGGTGGGGACCCCATGGACCACAGTCACCAAGAAGGGGCAGTGGTGGCCACTGGCGGGTGAGGTGGAGCTCCTGCACATGCCCGAGCTGCACATTACACTGTGGGTGCTGCTTGGCCTCGTGCTCCGGCCCAGGAATACTGTCCCCTCTTCCCCCCTAGCTGCCCGGCTCTCCGTGCATCCTCAGCTTTGGCCTCCCACCACCGCTGGTTCTGTTTTACTGTTGCACAGGAGAAACAAGCTCTGAGAAAACTCTTTGTTACTGATCAACAAGGGAAACTGGAAGCCATGGACCATCTAGCAGAGGGAAGCCTCTCAGTGGTGGAATCATTGGAGCTACTGCCTGCTTAGCATTTCCTGGCAGGTTTTGGGCACCAAGTGCCTTACCTGCGTGTAAGACGTTAACCGAGTGAGGAGGGTACTGCCTCCACTGTACAAATGTGCTGCCCGTAGTAGTGGTGGACCAGGATTAAAACTCAGGCCTTGGGCTTGTAGATCCTCCACTCTTCATGGCTTGCTTTAGGTTTTCAGGAGCACCAAAGCCGCATGTTGAATTTAGTGTAAGAGAGCTTTAAGCTGATTTCTTAAATACCTGTCGAGGGCCTAAGGATCACCCCCTTTCCCCTCCCCCCCACTCCCAGGTAAAATTTAAGGTCACTATGTAAACTCACAAACCATACTCCCTGTAGATTAAGATAGGACAAAATAGAAAAGCAGCCTTGCATGGCCTACTGCATTTTATTTGTTAAACTTGCTATGAGAAAGTGGAGTAATAAAATAATGGCTAATTGTCATTATTATTTAGTGATTATTCACATACTTTTTTTTTGATTCCTTAACTTCATTAAAAAATCTTTCTGGGGCCTGGGAAGGTGGCTTAGTGGTAGAATGCTTGCCTAGCATGCATGAAGCCCTGGGTTCAATTCCTCAGTACCACATAAACAGAAAAACCCAGAAGTGGTGCTGTGGCTCAAGTGGTAGAGTGCTAGCCTTAAGTAAAAGAAGCTCAGGGACAGTGCCCAGGCCCTGAGTTCAAGCCCCAGGACTGCAAAATAAATAAATAAATAACCTTTCTGAAATGAATTAGTTTGTATTTCTGGCCTTACTGTAACGTCTACATTTAGTTACTTCCAGCTCAGAGCCTTGAACTGGAGGCGCAAAAAGGAGTCCCTGCCACACAGCTAGGGAAGAGCATTCCAGTCAGAAGAGTAAGGAAAGTACTAGAACCATAGGGAAATGGCTGAGTGGATAAGCTCCAAGCTGAAGTGGCAAAGAAGGTGTCCCAGGGGCTCAGCCATTTAAATATGGAGTCTAACCATTTCTCCTAAGTGGTATATTGGTTTATTTGTTTTTAACTTTACCCAAATAAAAGTGCCATGGGGGACTGAAGAGGATAGTTTGATGGTCCTGCTACAAGAAGGACCTTTGTGAAGGCCAAGCACCAGCCCTCTGGAAATGCTGGCAAATGGAGCCAGGATGAATTTCCTGAAAAATCTGTCAATTTGGAGGTTTAATTTTTATAGTATCTGAAAATAGGCATGAGAGACCAGGCTAAACAATCTCATAATATACTTTGGAAATGTTGTTTCGTGGGTATGTTTAAGCTGCTAAATATGCTTTTCCACTTTGCTAAAAAAAAAAAAAGAAGAAGAAGTGGAGACATGACTAAAGTGTTAGAGTCCCAGCCTTGAGCAAAAAGCTAGACCATGAGGCCCTGGGGACCCAGCACAGGCACAAAAATAAATAAAAGCAAAATTTTGACTTATTAAAATACAGTCCCTGATGTTGCTTTGATTCAGCAGATAAAATATTACTCAGATTGTCACAACATTCTCCATTGCTTGTAAACCTTTCTTATTATGTACTGGTAATAAACTGTACTCCTTTTGATCATCCTCCCTGGTAACAGCCTGGGGACTAAGGCCATACCCTGATAATGTCCCAACACGTTGCCTTTCTTGCATTTTTAAGACTTTTTCATTGAACTTTTTAAAACGTGGAGCCATGAAAGAGTTCTCTAAGCTTATGAATTATCACACCGAATATAATTGTATTTGTTTGGCATCCTTCATGCTCCAGAATTCTCTACGCAGCTCAGAGTTTGAGGATTTGGTGAGAAATTCCACCCATCCTCTCCCCAAGAACATCATCATTTTATGTTTTTGGAACTGAGGATTGAACTGAACTTGTTCATTTAACCAAGTTTAATATAATAATATCCTTTCAGCTTCTTTTTTTTCCCCCTAGATGCAGGAAGTTGAAATGTACTTAGTTTGTCCCTTAGTTTGGATGAAAGCTGTGAGTTTAGAATCTATGGCCTGTGTGCTGCTGTGTGCAGCCAGGCTCCAGCTTCATCTTCACGAGGACCTCACTTGAGGTCCTCTAGAGAGCTTACTTTGCAGTCCCATCTGCTGTCCTGGTGGTTTCCAGACACTTATTCCAGCCCTGGAAACCTAATGGTATAATTCTGGTTTACTGACGTGAGTATGGCCTTGATAATAAGCAAGAATGTTGATTCTAGAGTTCTTTTCCTTTGCGAGTATTCAGCTATTCCAAATGCAGGCATTTGAAAAGCATTTTAAAGTCTCATATGATAGACAACAGATTACAGATAAATGTACTTTTCCCCTTTTCCTCCACAAAGCACCCCGGGTAATATAAAGTTGACCAGCAGCCTGGAACCTTACTTAGTTCGCCTGCTGATGATACTACAAATATTCTCATTATGTATATTTTCTTTTTAGTTATGTTATGATTTTCCTTTTAACTGCCTCCAAAAGAACCCAGTAGAGAAATGTTTTCTTCCATGTTTTTCTTTTTTAATCTAATCCCTACACTTGGTATATTCGCAGAGTGTTAACTACTCTAGCATCTAAAGCCTGGACCACCATACAGGCAGACATGTGAAGTAGGTACCCAGAGAAAAATTTGGAGCTCAGCTGGGCACCTAGCTACTCAGGTGGCTGAGAGCTGAGGATCACGGTTCAAAGCCAGCCCTAGCAGAAAAGTATGAGACTCTTATCTCCAATTAAACACAAAAAAAGCCAAAAGTGGAGCTGTGGCTCAAGTGATAGAGCAATAGTCTTGAGCAAAACAACAATGAAAAAGTTCAGGGACAGTGAGTGTCTAGGCCTTGAATTCAAGCCCCAGGATCAGCAAAAATTAAAATTAAAAAAAAAAAATTGGATAACCAGGCGCTAGTAGTTCACACCTGTAATCCTAGCTACTGAAGAAGCTGAGATCTGAGGATCACTGTTCAAAACCATCCTGGGCATAAAAGTCCGTGAGACTCTTATCTCCTGTGGCTCAAGCGGTAGAGCGCTCGCTCTGAGCTGAAGAGCTCAGGGATAGTGCGCCCAGGCCCAGAGTTCAAACCCCACAACCAACAACAACAAAAAAAAATTGGAGCTCAAGAAAAAATGATGTAAATTAGAGATAGGATTTAGAGGTCATTGGCCTGTGGATAATAGTCTTAAAAGAAGATAAAAAATATGTAGATAAAAAGTTGTAGAGGGAATTCTGGATATGGAAGGAGAAGCAAGCTAGGAAGGAGTTCTAGTAAGGTAAGCAAGTCAGGAGAAAACATGGAATAAATAAAAGTGTGGCAAAGCATTTCAAAGGGGGAATGACCTAGATTTAAGATACTATAAAGGAGTTGTATAAGATAATTACTAAAGTATACCCCTTAGATCTGAAAAATTAGAAGTCACTTGTTTAAACAATGTCAGTAGAATAATGGGGTCAAAGTCCAGACAATAGCAAGTTAAACAGCAAATACAAAGGAAGGAGGAAATTAGAAATACACATTAATTTGTAATCAGCCAGGTTATGGATTAATAAGAAAAGTTGGGGCAGCTGCTGAGCAATGTAGATAGAGGGATTGGTGTTATCTGCCAAATGGGTTTTTGGGGGGGAGATTTAAAAATGTGTAAATGTGGAGAAACATTTAATGTGTGTGGAATGTAGTGATTTAATGTTTATGTGACTAAGATTATAGTAACTTAGTACCTTCATAAGGAAAGCCATTAAAACTCCCCCAGTGTTACGAAAGAAATTGATTTAGGAGTTTTTAAGATTTTTCCCTAATCTGATTATGTATTATTGAAAATTTTTCTTATTTCCAAGAGACAAGAGAGAGTGCTAGTAGGAGAAAGCTAATAAGAGGGTGAATGAGGATGAATATGGTTGAAGTCGTTTATGTGCATGTATAAAAATGGAGTGGTGAGAGCTGTTGGAATGTCATAAGAAGGAGGAGTTGTATAAGGGAGAGAGCAGAGGGGGTGAAGTGTTCAGGGCATAGTATATGCATGTGTGGAATGATCACAATGAAACCCCTTCTTATATGCTAGTAAAAAAAATTCAAACTTTGCAGAACTCTATAAAGTAGAAAATAGAGGCTTCTGCATTTAGGAATTTTGTTTCCAAACAGCTGACCTGCTTTTTGTCCTTCCTCTTAGAGTGGATGTAACTGAGATTCAGGTAGCTTTAGTGATCGTCTTCGTGTTGTCTACATTTGGAGGAGCAACAATATGGGACTATACGGTAAGTGTGACTATTTGCCCTTCTGTCTAAAATATATTAAAATTTATATAGCAGGAATGATATGGATGGAGGTCATTGTAAGCATGAATGAAAATGTCACAGCAACCTCCCCCTTGTACAACTGATGTATGCTAATAAAAAAAAGTCTTAAAGAAAAATGAGCTATCAAGATGTGGAAGAGACTTAAAGGCTTCGAGCGCCAAGGCAATCTGAACTGGCTGCCTACACTATTATTCCATCCATATGGAATTCTGGAAAAGATAAAACCATGAAGCCAGTAGAAAGGCTGGCGAGAGCCAGGAGTTGGATAGAGGTGAGGGGAAGGAGGGAGACTGGAGGACTATGAAATGATTCTGGAAACTAATATAGTACTAGATATATTTATATTATATATTTCTCATGGCATGTAGACTGCATGACACTTACACTGAACCGAAAGGTAACGTATGAACTGCAGGTGGTGATCACATGCCAGTGTGGATCCACTATTCCCAGATGCTTCTTTGGGGCCTGTTTTGAGAGGGATGGGGACAGGAGGTGTGTGGGAACTCTCTTTCATATCTAGTCAGTTTTGCCATGGATCTAAAACTGTGCTGGAGAAACATTCTTTTTAAAAGATAGTGAAAGATTTCTCTCTGGCACTTAACTATTTGAATTGCCGAGCGCTGTTTGTATGACTAGGCTCAGAAGTAGACTTGCAGCATACTTTAAAGTACAGGGGCGGACCCTAGGACATTCACACACCTTGTTGTGTAGATGTGTGGTCTGTATGGCAGACTGGAGAGGTGCTGTCTCTGTTGAGGTAGCTGTGCAGCCAATACCCATAAGCAGTTAGACAGTTCTGGTCATTAAGTCAAGTATGGTTGACTTGAATTTAGAATTGAGTCTTAAAATTGTTTCACTTTGTGTGTATGTGTGTGTGTGTGTGTAATGTACTAGGAAGAGAACACACTTGCTTATTCTCACAAATAAGGGTGCTTAATTTTGATGTAGGTCTTCTACATTTAGTTGTCAGCCTGTAGCTTCCACAGATTCTGGTACAATTCCTCAAAAGTCTTTTTTCAAAATAGGATAGCCTGTAGCTTCTGGCAATTCATTGTTCCTGTTCTTTTCTTAAATCCTTTGCTGCCTTTGGAACTTGTCTTGAACAGCAGTTGACCAACAGGTAAATATATTGCTAGAGGTTTAATCTTGAATGTGGAGTACACGCATTTTCCTGCATGCACACACATGGTAGTTGTCACCTTTATGAGGGAAACCACGAAGTCTGCCTTTCCTTTAGAAGTAGTTCTTTCAAGGCTACAAAATTCCAGTGAGTTAGTTTAAGTCAGATGAAGGCTTATGTGATTAGATGTTGATCATAATTTTGTAAATGAATAATCTGATTTTTATTTAATAAAGCAACAACAACAAGAAAAAACCCAGTTACCACTTCTAGTCCAGGAGGTAAGGGTTAAATACAAGAAGATGGTAATATGTCTTACAGGGCCACATTATGACACTTCTATTTCCATAATTATTTGTTTCTTTCTTTCCCCTACCCCGTGAAGATTCCCATTCTAGAAATCAAACTGAAGATCTTTCCAGTTCTTGGAGTAGTCGGTGGAGCGATATTTTCCTGTTCAAATTATTTCCATGTTATCCTCCACGGGGGCGTTGGCAAGAATGGATCTACTATAGCAGTAAGGCGTTGATTTCCTCATTGTCCAGTGTTAACTTATGATCAGTTTTCTTAGCAAAGAGATGTGAGCATATAGGTCAAAATGCAATAATGAGAAAGAAAACTAAATATCTTAACGCATTTATTTTTGTACACATAGCACAGGAGCATTTGAAAGCAATGTGTACTTCCTATAAAGTAGTTCTCTTGTACCCACAGCCTTGCTCTAGGTAGACTTTTCTGACATCCCATTTAACTACTCATGGAACAGTTTCCATTTGTTTTCTTGCATTTTGTGCCTTGAACTAAGGAGAGCAAAGAGACTAGGGAGTTCTCGAGTGGATGATAGGCAAGGTGATCAAGTTTCACACATGGGACAATCTGTTATTCATAAAGTAAAGTTTATTGGAAGTTTGCTGAAGTATAATTAAAGATACTATTCTAATCATCCTAAAGAAACATTTTAATCTTAATTAGTGTTGAATTATACTTTGTGTTTGTGTTCTTTCTACCTTACCCATACTAGTTTCATATTATTTGTTTTTGTAAACTTTTTGGATGCTTCTAGGTGGAGTCAGACTTCCCACCTAAAACAGTCATGGGGCTTGAGCTATGGGCCTGGGCACTGTCCCTGAGCTCTTCAGCTCAAGGTAAGTAAGCTCTCTACCACTTGAGCCATAGCACCACTTCTGCTTTTCTGGTGGTAAATTGGAGATAAGAGTCTCAGGGACTTTCTTGCCCAGGCTGGCTTTGAATTAGGATCCTCCAGATCTCAGCCTCTTAAGTAGCTAGGATTACAGGTGTGAGCCAGTGACACCTGGCAATACCTACATTTTTTTTGGGGGGGTCCGGTCATGGAGCCTGAACTCTGGGCCTGGGCGCTGTCCTTCAGCTCTTCAGCTCAAGGCTAGCACTCTACCATTGAGCCCCAATACCTACATTTTTTTAAAAGCCGGTCATTGCCTACAATGTATCCAACATAGGCAGATAAGTACTTACTACAGTTATATCATCTCATAACAATTATTTTTCTTTAAGCCGTGGCACATTGCCTTCATTCCTTTAGTTCTGTAACTCAAAATTTATATACTTTCAGAGTGGATTTGATTTTTGCAAAACAGTTACTTGGAGCCAAGTTTAATTAATAAGTAATAAACATGAGAGGTATCTTTTTTTTTTCTGGGCCTGAGGCTTGAACTCAGGGCCTGGGCACTGTCCCTGAGCTTTTATGCGCAAGGCTAGTGCTCTACTACTTGAGCTACCACTCCACTTCTGGCTTTTTGGTGGTTCAAGAAATGAGTCTCCTGGACTTCCCTGCTCAGACCACTTTGAACTGAAATCTCAGCCTTCTGGGTAGCTAGGCGTGAACCACCAGTGCCTGGCTGAAATTGATTATTTTTAGTTTCAAAGAAGTTTTCATACTCTTTAAATGACTTACAAATTGGCTCTCAAGAAAACTTCAAAGGAGTCTCTATAATTCATAAATTGTAACTAGCCTGAAGTAGAACCTCAGAGTTATACTGATTTGCATTTTCTTTATGGACAGAAATGTTGGGCATTTCTTCATGTGTCTACTAGCCGTGTTTGCTTCTCTTTAGCTCATTAGCCTATTTATTAATTGGGCTGTTTGAATTTTGAGGTTTTAATTTTTTAACATATTCTGATATAAGGCCATTATCTAATGTGTAGAAGGCAAACATTTTCTCCCATTCTGTAGGTTGTCTTTTTATCTTGTTGTCTGTGTCCTTCCCCATGCAGAAACTTTTTAGTTTGATGCAGTCCCATTTATCAAGTCTTTTTTTTTTTTAATTTGTTGTGCTTCTGGATCTTTACTCAGGAAGTTCTTTCCTGTGCCATGGAGTCCTAATGTTTCTCCTGCTCCTTCCTGTAATACCTTCAGGTCGTACATTAAAGTCTTTGATCTGTTCTGAATTGATGCTAGTTCAAGGTGATAGGTAAGGGTTCAGTTTCAGTTTTCTGCATGTGGAAATCCAGCTTTCCCAGCACCATTTGTTGAAGAAGCTGCTCTTTCTTGTAGCTTATGTTTTGGGTTCCCTTATAGAATATTAGATGGCTGTAGGTTTTGGGTTTATTCTGGGAATTCTGTTCTGTTCTCTTGGTCCTCAGGCCTCAGTACGAAGCTGTTTTCATTACTATAGCTCCTTAGCAAAGATTGAAGTTTACTTTTTCTGCTAAGGAATGCTTTTGCACATTGGGGCCTTTTGTGGTTCCATATGAATTTCTGGATTGTTTTCTCTTTCTTGTTGAAAATGATTTTGGGGTTTTAATGAGTATTGCATTGAATTTGGAGATCGTTTTGGGCAGTATTGCTGTTTTCACGATCTTCTGCCAATCCAGGAGCGTGGCTTATGTCTTCTTTAATTTCCTTCTTGAAATCTTTAAGTTTCACTATGGAGGTCCATCACATCTTTGTTTAATTCCTAATTTTTTTTTTTTGGAGACTATTGCTTTCCTGATTTCAGTCTCGATCTTCTCATTGTTGTCATACAGGAAAGCTACTGACTTTATACCCTGCCAGTCCTTCCCCATCTCTAGTAGCTTGATAGAGGAGTCTGTAGGGTCCTTTAAATATAGGATTATAGAGGGGTGCTGGTGGCTCCCACCTGTAATCCTAGCTACTCAGGAGGCTGAGATCTGAGGATCATGCTTCAAAGCCAAGCAGAAAAGTCCCCATGAGACTCTTCAGTTAACTGCTCAAAAAAAAAAAAGGAAGGGGTGCTCAAAGTGGTAGAGCACTAGCCTTGAGCAAAAAGAGTTCAGGGATATCACCCAGGCCCTGAGTTCAAGCCCACAACTGACAAAAGAGAAATAATAAATAAATAGAGAAAGAAAGGATTATGTCATCTACAAATAAGGGTAGTTTTACTTTTTCCTTCTCTATTTGAATCCCCTTTATATCTTTCTCTTGCCTTATTTGCTCTTGCTAGGAATTTCAGTATATTGAAGAGGACTGGAGAAAGTGGATATCCTTATCTTGTTCCTGATTTTAGAGAAAATGGTTTTAATTTTTCATCACTAAGTGTGATGTTGGCTATAGGTTTATCACACATAGCCTTTATTATATTGAGGAATGTTCCTTGTATTTCCAGCTTCTCCAGAGCTTTTATCATAAAAGAATGTTAAATCATGTCAAAAGCTTTTTTGAGATGATTGTGTGGTTCTTGGCCTTACTTCAGTTGATGTGTTTTATTACATTTACATTTATATATATATATATATATATATATATATATATATATATATGTTGAGCCAGCTTTGCATCCTTGGGATGAGTCACATCTCATCATAGTGTATGAATTGTTTAAATTCAGTTGGCCAGAATTTTATTGAGAAATTTTGCATCTGTGTTCATCAAAGTGATATTTCAGTTTTTTTTAAGGATAAGCAGTGAGAAAATCCTGATTCACATAAAAATGTGAAGGCTTCAATTTTACAGTTTTATCATTTGTAGTCTAAATGCAAAACAAAAGGGAGTGAGGAAGGTACTGATGTAGAAAGGAACCAAGGTAGACTTGAACTCTTTAAAATCAGTGATATTTTATAGAATTGGTAAGATAAGCTTTATTTCAACATCTTCACATGTGTATATGCACACTTGCAAAAAATGTTATTTTGACTGTCCTTTGATATAGTAAAGTTGATGTAGGATGGGTCTGTTAATCTTTAGCTCATTGATGTAAAGTGTACACATATGAAACTGAAATCAGACATGTGTGGTTATTAAATATCTGTATACTCTCAGGGTCTAGTAGGAGTTTGAAAAGCACACTTAAGGTTTGCAGACTTCTTTCATCAATGCACCACATCATATTCTTCTTTAGATTCTTAGTATTTTACACAAAATGAAATGTTCAGAAAATGTTTTCTTTATTCTATCTCCCATTTGTCCTTCCAAGTTAATGGAGCACTTTTCTGAAGGGTGCTCCTCACAAGATGCTCTTGCCATTTGTATCCTTTCAAAATCTCTGCTCCTTCAGGATGCAGAAAATCAAAGAGCCATGTGGTCAATGGATTGTCCCACAAAAGTGATCCTTGCCTGGAGCCCCAACCTCTCCTCCTCCATAGGAGTCTGGATGGCTGGAGCACCACCATGTTCCAGGGCTGACTCTGCATACCTAGAAGAGCCTGCATATCCCCAGTCCTCCACAGTAATTCTCCAGATCAGAAGCCATTGGTGTATAGTGAGCGCTTATGAAAAATGTATTTTCTGTGAAAGAGTTAGAACTCTTGTATACCATATCAACAGTTCTGTAAAAATGGCAGTCAAAAGTGTCTCATACGCCATGTGCCAGTAGTTCATGCCTATAATCCTAGCTACTCAGGAGGCTGAGATCTGAGGATCGAGGTTCAAAGCCAGCCTGGGCAGGAAAGTCTGTGAGACTCTTATCTCCAATAAACCACTTAGAAAACTGGAGGTGGTGCTGTAGCTCAAGTGGTAGAGCATTGGTCTTGAGTTGAAGAGCTGAGAGACAGCACTCAGGCCCAGATTTCAAGCCCTGTGACTAACCCCCACCCCAAAATGTCTAATATATTTAAAACTTTAAAAAATCCCCATGGAGGGCTGGGAAGGTGGCTCAGTGGTAGAGCGCTTGCCTTGCATGCCTGAGGCCCTGGGTTCGATTCCTCAGTACCACATAAGACAAAAAGAAAAAAGCCGGAAGTGGCGCTGTGGCTCAAGTGGTAAAGCGCTAGCCTTGAGCTAAAGAGCTGAGGGACAGCGTCCAGGCCCAAAGTACAGGTCCCATGACCAGACCCCCCCCAAAAAATTGTGGATAAAAATCCCCATAGATCTTCGATGTGCATTGATGTTGACTTCTAGGTAACTCCTTGTCAAAGGGCAGTGACAGACTTTGTGTCCGAGGTGGGGTTTGACCACCTCCCAAAGGGCAGTCAGCCTGGGAGTTGTTTCCCACTGCCAAGACCTATAGCAGAACTCAGTTATGAATTCTTAATTAAAGTTATTAAATTCCTTTAATAACAACATCCCCCTCTCCAAACTATTTGCGTTGTTTCATAAATGCAGTGTTAAAATGTCATGCTGACACAAATATTCTGCTTATTCCTTAGGGTACCAGTGTCTTGTCACCTGGACTCCACATAGGACTCATCATTATACTGGCAATAATGATCTATAAAAAATCAGCAACTAATGTGTTTGAAAAGCATCCTTGTCTTTATACCCTAATGTTTGGGTGTGTCTTTGCTAAAATTGCACAAAAATTAGTGGTAAGACATCTTTTATGATTCTTCATATATTATCCTTAGGCTGGGCACTGGTGACTCATGCCTGTAGTACTAGAACTCAGGAGGCTGAGACCTAAGTATTATGGGCTCAGCACCTGTGGCTCACTCCTGTAATCCTAGCTACTCAGGAGGCTGAGATCTGAAAATCATAGTTGAAAGCCACCCGGAGCAGGAAAGTCCATGAGACTCTAATCTCTAATAAACCACCAGAAAACCAGAAGTGGTGCTGTGGCTCAAGTGGTCGAGTGCTAGCTTTGAGAGGCTCAGGGATGGTGCCCAGGCTCTGAGTTCAAGCCCCATGACTGACCAAAATGAAATTAAAAATTAAAAAATATAAAGATATATGTATATTATATTTAGGCCTCACACACAAAGCTGGAAAGTATACCATACATCAGTTTTCCTTTGTGGTAACAGTACCGCAAAAAATAGATTTTTATGCTCTGAGTAAAGCTGAGCTAAGTGTTACATTGTTATTGGTTTACCATAATGATCAATCGCAACTTTCTAAAAGTATCAAAGAACTTAAATACTAGAAATTTTAAATAAGTTATCTAATCATAAATAGATATGTAAATAAGTATATTTATAAGGTGTGAAATGATAAGGTCTCTATGTCTCAACAGCAAACTAATAATTGTGTCCTGAAAATTAGAACCAAAATATCTAAATACTTAATTGTGAAATTGTTTTTATTTTTTTATAGATAGCTCACATGACCAAAAGTGAACTGTATCTTCAAGACACTGTCTTTGTTGGGCCAGGTCTTTTGTTTTTAGACCAGTACTTTAATAATTTTATAGATGAATATATTGTTCTATGGATAGCAATGGTAAGTACTTTTTTTATTTTTATTCATTTATTTTTAACTGCTATTAGATCACATTATGTGGGTTTTTGTTTTGGGTTTTTTTTTTGTTGTTGTTGGTTGTGGGGCTTGAACTCTGGGCCTGGGCGCTGTCCCTGAGCTCTTCAGCTCAAGGCTAGCGCTCTACAACTGGAGCCACACCACCACTTCCCACATTATATCTTTTAAGAAGCATTTCAGTGAGATTATCCATTGCCTTCATACAATAAATACTTCTGGATATTTAAAGTGGTTTTTCTAAAGGTATGAGGTGTGTAGAAATGGCAAGCATATCTGGGGGTCAGGTTCCTAGTTGTTGTATATCACTGTTTTTCTTCCTCCAAATCAGAAAAAAGATGTCAAAAACACTTTGCCCAAATGACTCTCTGACTTTAATTAATTACGATTACAGAAGGTAATAGCACAGGTGGACACTTACTTCCGCATGAGAACCTTTAGCTAACATTGAGAAAAGACCCTGAGACCATTGTGTGCCAGGAGTAAGCAGCCATATGCGTCTATGTGGCCTTTGATGGGTGTAGATTTGTAATAATGATCACTCAAGCAATGGATGTTTGCTCACTTTGATTGTATTCTGCTTAAGAAAGGATTTATTTCTACTCAAAATGATTATGCAATAAAGAATATGGGTTTTTTTTGTTGTTGTTGTTGGTTGTGGGGCTTGAACTCTGGTCCTGGGCACTGTCCCTCAGCTCTTCAGCTCAAGGCGAGCGCTCTACCACTTGCACCACAGCGCCACTTCTGGTTTTCTAGTGGTTTATTGGAGATAAGAGTCTCATAGACTTTCCTGCCCAGGCTGGCTTTGAACCGCGATCCTCAGATCTCAGCCTCCTGAGTAGCTAGGATTACAGGTGTGAGCCACTGGCGCTCCAGTCATGGAGCCTGAACTCTGGGCCTGGGCTCTGTCCCTCAGCAATTCAGCTCAAGGCTAGCACTCTACCACTTGAGCCATAACCCACTTCCGGCTTTTTCTGCTTATATGGTGCTGAGGAATCGAACCCAGGGCCTCATGCATGCAAGGCAAACTGAGCCACCTTCCCTGCCCCTACAATACTTCTAGAGTAAATAATCTTCATCCATAGCCATTCAAAGGTCATCTGTACTTCCTATGGTGATATACTCAAATGTCATCTATATTTCCTATGATCACATACTTACCAAGATGGTAATGAGATATAATTCTTGCTCCTTTCAAGTGAACAATTAAAGTTTTCAAGAAATAGTTTAGAAAAAGCCAAGCCAGAATGCAAGCCTGGTTTAAGCCTAAGTTACCAGCATGCATGCATACACACACACACACACACACACACACACACACACACACAAAGAGTGTTTGAAAACTAGAGTCATTTTATTTAATATCTACTGTAAATATTTATGGATCCAAGCGATCCAAATTAATAAATAGGGCATTATTCAAAATTTCTGAAAATGGGTCTGGGAACATGGTTTACGTGGAAGGTATGAGACTCTTGAGTTCAAACCCCAGTACTCAAAACAAAATGTATTTGAAAATCCTATAAATGGTTTATCTTAGTGAATTTGGTATGTACTATCAAATGAATAATATTAACTGTCAGGGGTTAAAATTTTAAGCTTAAAGCTTGGACATGATTATTTGCACATGTAATTCTAGCTGTCCAGGCAGCTGAGAATGGGCTGGCTTGAGGCCAGACTGGGCAGAAAAGTTCAGGAAGCCCCTCTCAACCCATAGCTGGGCACAGTGGCACATACTTATCCTAAGCTATACGTAAGGCTGAGATCTGGAGAATCATTTCCAGTCAGCCATTTCAACTTGGGGAAGCTGGACTGTAGCATGCATCTGTCATCCCCGCAACAATGAGAAACCTAAAATAGGCAGATTAAAGTTCAGGCACAAGCCCAGGCAGGAAGTGAGTCATTCCCCCTCCCCACCCTCCAGCACAGAATACATAGTCAACAGTGCAAAACAGGGCTGGGGGCATGGCTAAGCAGTAAATCACCTACTTAACACCTATAAGGACCTGAGTTCAAACTCTCATTTCCGGCCCCCCCCCCAAAAAAATACAAGCACCTATTTTGTAGTAAGTTGTTGGCCTGATTTATTTGCACCAGTGATAGAGAAGTGAAACACTCAAATGCAATTTTTCTTTAAAACTATGTAGAAAGCTAGATACCAGTGGTTCCTGCCTATAATCCTAGCTACTCAGGAGGCTGAGATCTAAGGATCATGGTTCAAAGCTAGCCCAGGTAGGAAAGTCTGTAAGACTCATCTCCAATTAACCACTGGAAAACCGGAAGTTACACTATGGCTCACGTGGTAGAGCGCTTGCCTTGAGCTGAAGAGCTCAGGGAGAGCACCCAGGCCCAGAGTTCAAGCTGCACAACTGACCAAAAAAAAAAAAAAAACTATGTAGAAGACCACACACACAGACACACACACACACACACACACACACACACACACACGTCAAACAAAACATCTGTGCTCCCTGGTATCCCTAGGGAAAGTGCTTCGTACTTCAAACATGAAAAAAAAAAATCTGAAAAGCCAGGTTCTGGCTGCTCATGTCTGTAATCCTACTACTTGGGAGCTATGAGATCAGAGTATCACAGTTCAAAGCCAATTAGTCTCCATTTAACCACCCAAAATCCAGAAGTGGCTCAAGTGGTAGAGCTTTAGCCTTGATCAAAAAAACTCAGGAATAGCATCTAAGCCCTGAGTTCAAACCCCAGGACCAACACGCTCCCCCCATCCCCCCCCCAAAAAAAAAACTGATAGAGCTTTTAAAGGCTAGTTAATTTTTTTCCACAAGTGCAAATTCTTTCTGCAGGGGCACAGGCTACTTTTTCCTCCTGGGCTTCATTTTCCAAAGGAAAACATTTGACTCTCACCTGTGGGTAGTCTTCTGAGACCTTAATTTTGAGCACCATCAATTTTGTACATGCCTCCTTCAACTATGGTGTCTTTTCCTGACCTTTATTTTCTTATGACTAACCTCAGAGGAATCAAAACTGTATTATAATGACTTATAGTAGGGAATTTGTGTAATCTTTTCACAGCAGAAGTTGAGAGCATGACTCCAAATATTTGGGTTTTGTTACTTCTTAACTTTTGTATTCAAGTCCTTTTATTGTCGAGCTTGTTTCTGTTCTGTGTGTTACTGAAAACTACAATGAGGTCTAAATATTCAATGTAAATATATACTTTAAAATCGAATACTTTTAGTGAAGAATATTAGGTTGCAAATGTTTGAGACTGGAAGAAAGGGGAGACAGAATAACAGCTGCAAGTTTAAAAAAGATAGACTATATTCTGTATTTTTTTTGTTTTTAAGGTCCTTTCTTCATTTGACATGATGATCTACTTTAGTTCTTTATGCCTGCAAATTTCAAGACACCTTCATCTAAGTATCTTCAAGACTTCATATCATCAAGCACCTGAACAGGTTCACAAGCATATTGACTGACTAATAAGCCAAGGAAAAGAGGAGAAGCAGTTAGGGGAACCTAGGAGTGAAGGAAATCCCCCTATGCAGGAGGCTAGTATACTATCAAATAAGGTTATTTAAAATATAAATTCTGTAGGTTCCATTATGTCTATTTCAGCAATGAAGCCCTCATTATGTGTCATGAACCTTCAGTTTTGATCACAGATTTTATCAGTAAGACAGTCTATAAATTAACAAGAAGCAAGACCAAAACCAAATTCAATCTTGAGGATAAGAAAGTGAATACCTACAGTTCTAAATAGCAATCTTTGTTTCTACAGAATATCTATCAGACACTTGAGGGTTTCATTGCGAAAGCATAAAAATATAGAACTTAAAGAACGTTAGCTGTCCTGGCAGTGACAAGATAGCTTGGCAGTGACAACACTGCAAAAAAGTTAAAATGCAAGATTATACGCACTGCATAAAGAAGTGCCTGACTTATGATATTGTAATTGAATCAAGTGATGGTCTTAGAAGTGTTTTTTTCATACGAACCTTTTTTTCAAAAAGGCATAATAATACGATACTTGCTTTAAAATACGACCTAGAATTTAACAGGACTGTGGGGATTTTGTAATGTGTCTTTAGTAAAATGAGTTATAACCATTCAGAAAAACATATATTTCTATAAATTAAGGGTAACTAACTAGTTCCTTGATAGTCTTGAATGGTCTTTTTTATAAAGATCAAATCAGGAGCTAAACCAGTTGACATGTAAATACTCACCAATGAAAACATGGCAGAAATATCATCCTTTTAAATATCACTCAGTTACTTGGATTGCTCATTGACTCATTCCAGATGGTAACAGAGAATACAATAAGTATAAATTATTCATCACTAAGTACATTAGGTACTGATTCTTATCTTTCTCTTCTCAGCTAAAAATATTTAGATTGTTCTTTGTATTTTTATAAAATATTCTTATAGTATTATTTTATAATATATATTATACTGTCTTATAAATATTCTTTATACCTATCACAAAGGTCTTTGTTGATCCAAATCTTCAGACTCCCATCTGACCTTATTTCTAATTTTATATATATATAACCATTCCATATGTAATTGATATGATAAAACAGAAAAATAGAGGCATAATGAACATGTACTTTATTCATAAGAAAAAGGCATATTGAAAAAACAGTGGACATTGGAAAAATATTTATGTGAAGTAAGGAAAAATATACTTATGTGATTTACGTACACAGAAATATTCATTTATTTTTGCCTCTCTAACTACTGGCAAAACTTCTCAAATAATTGGACCTTCTTATATAAACTTAACTAGTACTTATAAGATTTATACTCCAGGCCAGAGAAGCAGCTCAGTGCAAGAGTACATACTTGTGTCTGATCCCTGGCATAATACTCAAAAAAGACAAAAAATAAAAATAAAATAGAAGTCATGTCCTCTTAATGTTAAATATTTGCTAATAGTAGAGGACTAATTCCTTCCTGTATAAATTATCACAGAAAAATAGAATCTGTGTGGACTTTTTATTAAAATTTGGAAAGCATTAAAACTAAGGTAAAGTTATAGAGGCAAAACTTAGAATTTAAGGCATGGAAAAGCAGGGAAATGTTGTTCTGAATGATTTTGCTAAAATTGAAAGTAATTCCGCCAAAACAAAGTCAGTTTAACTGATATATTTCAAAGAAATGTTAGAACAATTTAAAATTTATTAAACAATTTCTTAAAATTATTCTGTATTCAAATACACATTTTAAAAGACAAAGCATCAAAAATTAATTGTTCAAGTCTGGAAGTGAATGTTTATTAAACATTAATACTGAAAAGATGGCAGGCATCAGTGGCTCACGCCTGTAATCCTAGGTACTCAGAAGTCTAAGATCTGAGGATTATGGTTCAAAGCCCGCCCAGCCAGGAAAGTCCATGAGACTTTTATCTCCAATTAACCACCAGAAAACCAGGAATGGTGCTATGGCTCAAGAGGTAGAGCGCTAGCTCTGAGTTGAAGAGCTGAGGGACAGTGCCCAGGCCCAGAGTTTAAGTGACTGAAAAGACATTCAAGGTAAACTGTAAATTATCTTTGAAGACAGATGTGAAGTACTTAACCCATAATTAATTAGCTATGGTCATGGTATGCCCAACAAAACTTACAGACGAAGCCCAATTAAATGACATACTGATATCTTTGTGGAAGTGACACAGTATTCAATACTTTTAGAAAATACATAGAAAAGGCTACAAATGTAATACTGGGTAATTTTTCCTTAAAGAACAACAATGTAAACCACGTATAGTGGCCCATACTTATAGTCCAAGCTACTTGGGAAACTGAAGGAGAGGATCACTTGAGCCCAAGCATTTGCGAACAGTCTCAGCAACATAGGAGACTCTGTCTCAAAAAAACAACAATAGCCTTCTGTTCCTGTGCTTTGTATCTTTTGGGACTGATAAAGATATATGAGGCCAAAACTTAAATTTAAATAATCTTTATTGATAAAAGCTAATTAACAGTGTTAGAAAAAGTCACAATTACAACTAGATCTACTTAAAAACGTGATACATTTAATTTAGGACTGGCTGACACATATTTGGATTTTATGTGGAAGTTAACAGAAAGAGATGTTCTGTAGTTAAGCTATTGATTAAAGTATACTAATTTCAACTAGAATGTCTAAACTACTTGAAAGTCATGCCTCTCAGCTAACTTTATAATTATATTACTCAGGTTCAAGTTCTTTCTTCAAAGAGTCATCAGAATATCATGGACTGAAGAGACTTTCGAACACTTGCCATCTCTTGCTGCTGCTGTTTCATGAAAGGAGATATTAAACATTTGTTTAATTTTTAGTTGTTATACATATTTCAGCAAATAAAATATTTCAACGCTTACAGTAATAATTATGTTTTTTTTTAATTTGAAATATAGTAACTTATTTGGGCACAGTGGCTCAATGCCTGTAATCTTAGTTACTCAGGAACTGAGATTGGGAGAATCTCAGTTCAAGGTCAGCCCAGGTCAATAAACCAATAATAAACTTGGGCCATATCAACAAATATAATGCTGGCACAATGCTTTGCACCTTTCATCTCAACTATATGAGAAACTTGTAACTTTTTGCCGGCCTGGGCAAAAAGTGAGACCCTATACAAAAATAACAAAAGCAAAAATGGTTGGTAGTGAGGCTCATATGGTAGAGCCACTTGCCATGCCAGTACAAAACCTTGAGTTCAAAACCTCAGTAAAACACCCCCAGAAAAACTAAAAGATGTATAACAACTTACAGTTTCCATCATAATTTTTTTCTGCAACAAAGCCATTTCTTTTTTAAGTTCACTTTGTGTGCTTGTAAACATATTATCATTATTCTTCTCAACATCCTCCAGACTCTAAAACACAAAATGTAGTTATAAACTGTAACTTTTTCATCTCAGGTCCTATATTTACTAAATTTCTAAAGGAAGAATTTTTTAATATTCAAATAATACTCATTATTCCAAGTTAAAAATATTTTAATATGAAAACCAAAATTCCTACTATAAAGTAAAATAGATCAGACATGAATCAAATATAGTTACAAAAAGTACACTGATGGTATACTTGGTGTCAAGCAGTGGGTTAATGAACTGTTGAGGTCAAGGTGGAGGTAAAAGCCAGGCACCAGTGGCTCACACCTGTAATCCTTGCTACTAAGGAGACTAAGATCTGATGGTCATGGTTCAAAGGAAGCCCTGGCAGGAAAGTCCCTGAGACTTATCTCCAATAAACCATCAGAAAACCAGAAGTGGTGCTGTGGCTCAAGTCGTAGAGCACTATCCTTGAGCCGTATAGCTAGGTGCCAGTGGCGCCTTGAGCTGAAGAGCTGAGTGACAGCACCCAGGCCCAGAGTTCAAGCCCCATGACCAACTAAAAACAAAACCACCAACTGTATAAAGGTGGGAAATAATGGAAAATGTAACGAAGCTCAAAAAGAAATCAGTCACAAGGATCTCTAAAAATGTAGAACTGGTCATTTTTCAGGAAAAGGAGATATTCTAGAAAGATAAGATCTATGAAGGCTGGGCTAGAGAACAAAGAAATCAAGAATTTTAGCAATAAAAGCAAAGAATGTTGGGGATCCTGAATTAGAACACTAATTACAGAAATATTGAACATAGCAAAGGTAAAAACTATAGGTTCTGGTAATGACTGAGTATGAAAGATAAAGAGATGGAAGAGCCAGTGATAACATCAAAGAAATATTTTCTAATACCTTATCAAACCTTCATATTAACTAACAAATATTACCAGGAAACATTACAGCAAGCTGTCAAATTCTCTACTTGGAACCGTCTGTTATATTCTGAGCTATCTCACCACTATAAATTATCATATAAAGTTCTTTTTGGCCCCTGCAATAGTAAAATCAGATACGCCATAAAATGCTTCTGTAAGGACTGGGAAGGTGGCTCAGTGGTAGAGTCCTTGCCTAGCATGCATGAATCCCTGGGTTCGATTCCTCAGTACCACATAAACAGAAAAACCCAGAAATGGTGCTGTGGCTCAAGTGGTAGAGTGCTAGCCTTGAGCACAAAGAGGCTCAGGAACAGTCTCTAGGCCCTGAGTTCAAGCCCCAGGACTGGCAAAAATTAAACTATAATACACTTGAAAACAAATATTCCATTTCTTGTGTGTGTATGTATGTTGGTACTGGAGCTTGAACTAGGGGCTCCTGTTTGGCTTTTTCATTCAAGGCTGCCATTTTACCAAATCAACCATACCTCCACTTCCAGCTTTTTGCTGGTTAATTGGAGATAATAGTCTCTCAAAGCCAGGTAGCTCAAGCCTGGAATCCTAGCTATTAAGGAGGCTGAGATCTGAGGTTCAAAGACAAGTTGGGCAGGAAAGTCTGTGAGACATCTCCAGAAAACCAGAAGTAGAGCTACAGTTCATAGTGGTAGAGGGCTAGCTTTGAGCAAAAAAGCTCAGGGACAGTGCCCAGGCCCAGAGATCAAGCCCCAGGACTGTCCCCCCACCACCCCCCACAAAAAAAAATGTGTCAGATTTGTCTGCCTGGCCTGGCTTCAAAGTGCAATCATGAGATCTCAGCTCTTAAGTAGCTAGAATTACAAGTGTGAGCCATCAGTGCCCAGCCAAAAGTTCAATAATTTCAATTGGGTACACTCCTTTTTGTTTTCAATAGAGATACTGAATCAGTAATCAAATATTTCCTGAAAGGGCAAGATGTAGCCTAGTGATAGCATGTCTAGTATGTGGGGCCGAGTTCCATACCCAGCACTACAGGAAAGAAAAAAAAAGCTTCCCCAGAGAAAAAGCCCAGAATCTGAAGACTTTACTATTAAATTCTAAATTGAATACCTTCTAAACAAACAAGAAACAGAGAATAGAAAAAAAAGACTATACATAAATGATTTACAGACTTCATGTTAAAGACTGTAACCAAAGTATGGATTTGGTACATGATACATGTGTAGGTAAAATTCCCAGTTTATCATTTCTTGTCTTTAATACTTCCACAAAACCATTAGCATTCTAAAGATGTATTTATCACTTCAGTAAGAAACAATGATTTCTAAAATGTAAGTTTTTTTTAATGTATAAGCAATATGTTTTTTCCATAAACTTGAAAAAAAAAGCTTATGTACATTTTTAAAGACTGAGTCACATTTCCAAGTACAGCATACCTTTATGAACTGGTCATATAACTGTTTAAGTGTTTTCAGTCTCTGGTGCTGAATAATCCTAGATTGCTGAAAAATCTTTTGTTGTTGTCGAAGTACATTCTACAAATATAGAAGAAAAAAATGTAGTTAATAACCATTTTTTTTGGTCAGTCATGGGGCTTGAACTCTGGACCTGGGCGCTGTCCCTGAGTTCTTCAGCTCAAGGTGAGTGCTCTACCACTTGAGCCACACCACCACTTCTGGCTTTTTCTGTTTATGTGGTACTGAGGAATCGAACCCAGGGCTTCATGTATGCTACCACTAAGCCACCCTACCACTAAGCCACATTCCCAGCCCCAAAGTCTAGGATTTCAATACCCAACACCACACTGAGAGCCCTCTAAGAATTATCACAACACAGCCCAGATGATACTGGGCCAGCAACATTCTCTATTCCTATTCATCTGTGTCCAAAGCTAAACTACTTTTGAGTTCTTTTAGACAAACTGGAAATCCTCCTGAACCTAAGAATCCCAACCAATATAAGCAACAGAGACCAATGGCTTTTATGAGCAAGACTAAAATGCATAATAAGCAATGTGTAGTGGAACCTGGCTCAATTCCATGAGCCCAGTACAAACAAAGCTAGGTTCTCCTTTCCTGCTTAAGACTTTTGTTATAGTAATGGATGAATTGCAGTGTTAATTGTGACACTAACAGTTAGCTTTTCTTCTTGTTCCCCAGATTTCTTCACATCTGTATCCCACTGCTGAAACAAAGTTTGAAAGTGCTGAGAATATTCTTTGCTAATCTTCTGCCTGTAAAACATAAAGTATACTGTGACTGTCAAACCAATATGAAAAAACTCCCAAAACAAAGTGCATTGATGTATTTTATACTATCAAAAGGAACAACATAACAAAAACGGTTTAAAAATTCTGATAGAAAACCAAGAAGTAAAATTAGACATGCATAGATTTCAAAAGTACTTTTTCTTGCCGGGCGCTGGTGGCCCACGCCTGTAATCCTAGCTACTCAGGAGGCTGAGATCTGAGGATCGCGGTTCAAAGCCAACCCGGGCAGGAGAGACCGTGAGACTCCTATCTCCAATAAAAACCACCAGAAAACCGGAAGTGGCGCTGTAGCTCAAGTGGTAGAGCACGCGCCTTGAGCTGAAGAGCTGAGGGCCAGCGCCCAGGCCCAGAGTTCAAGTCCCACAACCGACAAAAAAAAAAAAAAAGTACTTTTTCTTACAAGCTAACACAAAAGTTCTCGCATATATTTTAGCTCTTGAAAACTGAGTTTTTATCATTTTCCATATATATAATATTCCATATATATTCCAGAAAAGGTAATTTTATCTTCAGTTTTTAATTTTTCTATTGAATACAGGTTCTGATGTGATAAACATCAACTGATTTCCCAGGAGAAATATTTCACCTAATTTTTTACATTTAGGCATAGCAAAGTTTAGCATAAATGATGAGCTAAAATATACAAATTACAATATAAAACTGGCCTTTTTCTACCCTACAATGTCAAACATTTAACTATAAAACAATAGTTTCTATGACACTTAGTTTTTACTTAAGTTGTGTATTTCTGGAATGATTACATTTTAATAACAAAATTTTTTAACTGTCATTTAGAAGAAAAAAAAAGCAATCGTTCCTGAATTCTAAGAAATACCTCCATTCTATAAGGTTAGGCATAAGGTAAGAACTACCTGCTTAGATAAAAATCAAGCCAACTATATTTTTATTAAAGATGCCAATAAATAGAAGGTGATATTTTTCAAAAGTACCACGCACTAATCTAGACTAAGAAATGATAGAAACATGGCTGTTAAAAAGAATTGCCTTACCTTTGCTCTTGTTGTGTTCTCCAAACTTGTTCAATCCTCTGGGTACTGTTTCTGAAAGAAGCCTGGGTATACATTTCTAGCTTTTTTCTCTTGGCAAGAAGAGCTCTGTTAATGTCAACTATATTGGAAATATTCATTAAAATTTAGTGTTAAAATTATTGTATTCCCACATGTTAAAGTAAACATAAATGGGTAAAATTCATTCAACAATCAGAAAGACATTTAAGATAACTTGTATGGTTACTTATGCTTTAAAAAAAAAAAACCAGAACCTTATGTAA